AGTGTTTCTCTTTCTCTGGCCTTTCCGATTTGTGTTCACCGCACCCTTCTGTTATTATATTCCTTACTTCCACGCACCTTTCCCCCCTCCCCCTCTCTCTCTCTACAACTTCTGGCTTTAGTGTTCCCTTCTCTCTGGCCTTTGTGATTTGTACTCACCGCTCCTTTAAATGTTGAGACATGTATGTACGCACTTTAGTTTTTATAGCCTGTGTATATCAAGATTCTTGCCAGTTATTTTTGTGAATATTCCTGAGGAAGCCCGTTGAGGGCGAAACGTTGAACTGTGTATAATATATATTTTCTGGAAACACAACAAGGTCTTAACTGTTTTAATACCTTCTTTATACAATGATGATGATGGTGATGATAGTCCCATTTCTCTGATACCGGTGGCGTCACGTGGTTTGCAGACAGGGTGGTGCAAAATTGGAAAGTGAGCAATTAATGGGCAATAGGCTTAGTAACTACTATTAAGATTTCTAGAGAAAATCAATTAGAATCTGCAGGATTTCCCGCAATCTACATCTATCGATATTAGACGAAACCGCATAAAAGCTGCAATAAAGTGAAACAATACTAACAACTCACTATGCTCACAATCTAAGAAGATTTAAAGATATCTAATTACTTCCTGCAGCACCAGGACTTGCTACACAATAGACTGAATAGAGGGAGACAACATTTCCGATACCAATTCTTCATTGAGTTACCGTAGACTCTACTACTAGTGTAGTAGATAAGCTCGCGGACAATTGGATCAAATTTTTAGCTTGCACCAAATTAAAGCTGCGAAGAGCAGTTTCATGCACCTTTCTTCTGGTACGCGAAGAACGATGCCTCGATTTCTCTACAGTGACAAAAATAACTTTGGTGCAAAGGTTTTGCTTGCTCCCAACAGATACCATCGCAAGCGGTGCGACAAGTAAACCATTCTCGCCGTCTGTCTCTTCACTGGCGCAGCCAGCAAATGACGGATCGCAAGGATGTAGATCTAGTAGGCCTAAAATAGGCCTAGATCTAGAGCACTGACTGGTTTAGAACAATTCGAAAAGAGAGGGGGATGAAAGCCAGGGTTAGGTGATACGATACAGCGCTACTTTAGTTTCACTCTCAGTTGCTCCTGAGGAAACCTACGCGGCGAAATATCGAGCTGATTCATTAAAACAAATTTTAAACATTTTATATAATTTATATCTTTTTGTCTGTAAACCAGGCAGGACCCTCCCTCGTACTCTGCTTTTTAAACAATGATGATGGTGAAGATGATGATGATGATAATGATGATGATGATGATGATGATGTTGTTGATGATGATGATGATGATGATGATGATGATGATGATTTAGGAATAAATCAAAGTTTATGATAATCATAAATAAGTATTTCAAAGACTATTTTCTCAAAACAAATTAGCTCCAGGTGATAACTAGAATTTTGGACACATGCTCCGTCAAGCCTTTGAAGTAAACAATCATCCACTGAGATCAGCGTACAGGAAATCGTCAAGATAAATGTTTCAGAAGCAAACGAGAACAATGAAATACACAACAATTATAATGCAGAACAAACATAATATTTCTACATTCGATCAGATTTCAAACACAGCTCTAAAACTAAAAGCTGTTTACAAAACTCTCTGTGGGGCAGCGTGGTGAAATCAGGCGCTCGTCAAAAGAATGAAATCGCAGAAACCGGCATTTTTTCGACGTTAGCCAGTTTTTATCAAATTTCTGGGGGGGGGGGGGGGGGGGTCCTAAGGCTTACGGCAAATCTGTTCCACTGTAGATTTAACAATTTCGCAATTTGAAATGCCTCAGTTTAGTTATGTGTTTGGAATTATTTCGCAAATAATAATAGTAATCCAGCATAAATCCAACTCACCTACAAATATAGCGCTAAACAGCCCGATACCTAGCCCAACTGTATGGTACAGGGGTAGCACAATGTAAAGACGATCAGAGGAGTTTAAGCTGACAGCCAGCAGAGTAATGCAGAGAGCATTGGCTCGGCCCTGACTGACCTTCACGGGCTTTGGGTTACCTGTATTAATGATAACAATAATAATAATAATAATAACAACAACAACAACAACAACAACAACAACAACAG